ACTACTACTCCTATACTACTACTAACTCCACTACTACTACCACTACTACTAACTACTACACGAACTACGACTGCTCTAATGCGTTCTCTGCTACTCCTCCTGCTAGTGCTACTGCTGCTGCTACTAGTACTAGTACTAGTACTAGTACTAGTACTAGTACTAGTATTCGTACTAGTACTAGTTCTAGTTCTAAAAAACAGAAAAAAAAAAAACACAAAAAACTAAAAAATAAAAAAAGAAAAAAAGTAGTAGTGTAGTAGTCGTAGTAGTAGTAGTGAGTAGTAAAGTAGTAGTAGTAGTAGTTATTGGTTGTAAGTAGTAGTAGTAGTAGCAGTAGGTACTGATGCTAGTCGTGATAGGCGTAAAACTAACTCTACGACTGCTACTACTACTGACACTCTTGCTACTACTACTACTACTACTACTGCGACTACGACTACGACTTCGACTACGACTACGACTGCGACTACGACTACGACTACGACTTACGACTAAAACTACAAGTACGACTACGACTACGACTACGACGACTACGACGACGACGGCTACTACTACTACTGCTACTACTACTAATACTGCTACTACTACTACTACTACTACTACTACTACTGCTACTGCTGCGACTACGACTGCGGCTACGACTACGACTACGACTACGACTACGGCTACGACTACGACTACGACTAAAACTACGACTACGACTGCGACTACGACGACGACTACTACTACTACTACTACTACTACTACTACTACTACTACGGCGACCCAGACTACTACGACTATAACGAATACTACGACTACTACTTTGACTACTACAACTACTACGACTACTACGACGGATACTAATACTCCTACTCCTACTCCTGCTACTCCTACTACTCATTGTGCTACTGCTACTGCTACTGCTGCTACTACAACTAGTTTTTTTTTTTTTTAGGTTTTTGGGGGGGGTCTATTACGGCCGAACTCTACACTACTACGACTACTACTACTACTACTACGGTACTAACTAACTACTACTACTACTACTAACTACTACTACTAACTACTACTTCTACTACTACTACCTACTACTACCTACTACTACTACTATTACTATTACTACTACTACTACTACTACTACTACTACTACTACTACTACTACTACCTACTACCTACTACTACTACGACTACGACCACGACTACTACCACTCAGACTACTACTACTACTACTACTACTACTACTATTACTACGACTACTACTACTACTACTACTACTACTACTACTACTACTACTACTGCTACTAATACTACTATCACGACTACTACTACTACTACTACTACTGCTACTACTACTACTCCTACTACTACGACAACGACTGCTACCACTACTACTAGTGCTACTACGACTACGACTACGACTACGACTACGACTACGCCTACGATCACGACTACGACTACGACTACGACTACGACTACGACGACTACTACTACTACTACTACTACTACTACTACTACTACTACTACGACTACTACTACTGCTACTAGTACTAGTACTAGTACTGGTACTAGTACTACGACTACTACGACTACGACGACTACTACTACTATCCTTACTACGCCTACGACTACGACTACGACTACATATACTACTACTACTACTACGACAGCTACGCCAACTACCACTACTACGACTACTACGACTACGACGACTACTACGACCACTACTGCTACTGCTACTACTGCTACTGCTACTATTACTACTATTACGACTACTACTACTACGACTACGACTACTACTACTAGTACTAGTACTAGTACTGGTACTACTACTACTACTACTACTACTACTACTACTACTACTACTACTACTACTACTGCTACTACTGCTACTACTACTACTACTACTACTACTACTACTACCACTACTACTACTACTACTACTACTACTACTACTACTACTACTACTACTACTACTACTACTACACCGGACTCACTTCTATAGCGCTCACTTCTATAGTGCTCACTTTGAAATTGTGGTCCGGAAGGGGCCGCACATACAGGCACATGCCGCACAGTCGCATGCACATGCCCATGCAAATATACAAAAGCCTCAACAGCATTGCCGCACATGCGCGCACATGCCACACCGTCCGACGCACAGTCGAATGCACGGTCAAGCAGAACTCTGAAAGCATAGACGCACATGCCCGCACATGCCGCAGAGATGTCGCAGGCGATAGTGGCCTGACCACCTGAGCTCGGGGCATTTCGCAACCCAGAGTTCCGAGGATGTCTCAGGCAACCGTGGCCAGATCACCATGGCGCAGGGCATCTTGGAAACCAGAGTGGCGAGGATGTCGCTGGTCAAGGTGACCAGACGACCATGGGGCAGGACACCTCCGAGGTCTGAGTTGTGAGGATGTCTCAAGCGAAAGTGGCCTGACCACCATGGGGCAAGAGATCTCTCAGAGTTGCGAGGATGTCTCTGGGGAGAGTGGTCTGACCACCTCAGCCCAGGGCATCTCGGAGCCCAGAGTTGCGAGGATGTCTCAGGCAGGACTGGCCTGACCACCTGCTCAGGGCATCTCAGAACCCAGAGTTGCGAGGGTCTCAGGCGAAAAAAGCCGAGACACTATGGAGCAGGGCATCATTGAGGTCAGAGTTGCGAGGGTGTCTCAGGCAAAAGTGGCCTGAACAGCTCAACTCAGGGCATCTCGGGCGAGGATGTCTAAAGCGAAAGTGGTCTAACCACCTCAGCTCAGGGCGTCTCGGAACCCAGAGTTCCGAGGATGTCTCAGGCGAAAGGGGCCGAGACACTATCGAACAGGGCATCATTGAGATCAGGGTTGCGAGGATGTCTCAGGCGACAATGGCTGACCACCTCAGCTCGGGGCATATCGGAATCGAGACTTGCGAGGATGTCTCAGGCGACAGTGGCCTGACCAGCATGGGGCAGGAGATCTCTGAGGTCAGAGTTGCGAGGATGTCTCAGGCGAAAGTGGTCTCACCACCTCAGCTCAGGGCGTCTCGAAACCCAGAGTCCCGAGGATGTCTCAAGCGAAAGTGGCCGGGCCACCATGGGGCAGGGCATCTCCGAGACCAGAGTTGCGAGGATGTCTCAGGCGAAGGTGGCCAGATCACTTCATGTCAAAGCACGTCGGCCTCCAGATTGCCGACGACGTCTCACGCGGAACTGGCCCGACGCGAACGCGCCGGCTTCCGGAGACGAACGCCGGCCCCGGCATTTTTGCACGTCCCGCACATGCCCCGCACAGGTACGCACAGTATTCGCACAGGCCGAGCTCGCCGGTGGCCGAGCCAGGCCAGCGCTTCCGAGATTCCCTGAGCTCGGGCCGTCAAGCCACTTTCGCCTGAGACATCCTCGCAACTCTCACCTCCTCCTCCTCCTCCTCCTCCTCCTCCTCCTCCTCTTCCTCCTCTTCCTCCTCCTCCTCCTCCTCCTCCTTCTCCTCTGGCCGAGCCGAACAGGCAGGCGGGCCAGTGGCCGGGGGCGCCCGCCTCCTCCGCCCCCCCCTCCTCCCCCCCCCCATCCACCTCCCCCCCCCCCATCCCTGCTTCTCCGGCCGAGCTGAGAAGGCGCGCGGGAGAGTATTTTATTAGGCGGGCGCGCCACCGCCAGCTCACGAACCGGGCGAAGAACCGCCCCCGCCAGCAGCGGGCGAGTCTAAACGCACAACAAACTCTTTCAGGAAGCCCTGGCACGCCCCAGGTTAGCCCTGCGAAGGCCACGAGGCATTGGAGGCACAGGGGTCCCAGACAGCTCCTAGGACATGAGCGTGCGTGTGCATTGGGATGTGCACGCATGTGCGCCCGCGCGCTTCACCGCATGTGCGTGCATGTGCGGGCCCGCGCGGCCTCCCGAAGAGAGGTTGCACAGGCATGTGCGTGCATGTGCCGATGACAGATCTGCGATTCTCGAACACCTCCCGCATGTGCAGGCATGTGCGCGCATGTGCGTCGGATTGTGCGTGCATGTGCGTATGATGGATACACCAAAACACAGCGCACATGCCCCCGCACATCCCCGGGCACGACGTGCACAGTAGGAA